AAAAGAAAAGGCGTTTGAAATACAATAGGAAAGGATATAGATTTGAAATACAAGAAAACCAAATACCTCTCTCAGCTGGACCCTTGTAAGTCCTTAGTATTTGAATTTTACTCTGAGGACAGAAAGGTTCTAGGAGTTTAAGCAGAGGAGTAACATACTATGACTTCAGTTTTAGAAGGATCATTCTGATGTTATAAGAAAACAGAACAAAATAAAGTAAGGGAGTCAAATATAGAAATAAGAAAAGCAATTTGAAGAGTGCTGTAGTTGTTCCTGTACTTATTCGGCCTAAAGGCCCCATTTTTAGAAAATAAATCAACCATTGTCTCCCTGGAAATCTACCTCCTTTAAGTGAACAAATAGAAAGTCCCTGACAATTTCACCTGAGGAAACTCCTGTGGTGTGTGTTGGTGGTGGCAAATCATTCCATCATCCTCAGAGGCAGAAATACCCACTTTAAGCAACTGTGATCTAGGCAAATTGGTAAAATAATTAGGGGCAATTTGATAGCAGTACACATGGTGACAGTGGCTAGACTGAAAATAAATCTTTTTTGTTGTTGTTGTTTGCTTTTTCGGTCACACCCGATGATGCACAGAAGTTACTCCTGGCTCTGTACTCAGGAATTACTCCTGGCAGTGCTCAGGGGACCAAATGGGATGCTGGGAATCTAACTTGGGCCGACTTCATGCAAGGCAAATGCCCTACCCGCTGTGCTATCTCGCCAGGCTGAAAATAAATATTAAACAGTGATATTATGAGACTTGATGTAGTAGATGTGAAGTGTGAGATAAAGAAAACCAAACAATCAAACAAGCAATGACTCTAAGATGTTGGTATGGGCAAGTGTTAGGATGCCTGTAGGATATAATAATCATCATCATCATCATCATCATCATCATCATCATCATCATCATCACTGTCATCCTGTTAATTGTTGACTTACTTGAAGAGGCGCCAGTAACATCTCTATTCCTCCCAGCCCTGAGATTTTAGCAGCCTCTTCTTACTCATCTTTTCCTAAGGATTGAAGGCTCTTTTAGGGTCAGGGGAATGAGACCTGTTGTCATTACTGTATTTGACATATCAAATATGCTATGGGGAGCTTGCTAGGCACTGCCTGTGTGGGTGGGATACCCTCAGTAGTTTGATGGGCTCTTTGAGAGACATACATTTATATATTTTCTCTATTATTATTTGTTGCCTACTAAATGAACCCCATCAGATATGGTGTAATAATAGTGGAAAATGGGTAGGAAGGGTCTTATAATGTGTCCGGAAAGTGGCCTGGAGTGTGGCGGTGGTTGGGTAGTGGAGATAGGCTGCCGGGGCTGGGTCCTTTGGGGCAATGAGGGTTCTCACCTGCCCCACAGCCTGGCTCGGAGTCCTGTAAGATACAGGTAGCAAATAAAGAGCTCTATTTTTATCATATTGTTCGATTTATCTATAAAAAATACAAGTTGAGACACTAACAAACAACTACATATACAAATCTATAGCTACAGAAAGGCCTAAATTAGGATTATAGAGATAACGTTTTAAGCTGAGGAATTGGTACTTTTGGAGACTGAGACTGGTTCGAGAGAGTCAAGGATAGTAAGAAGTGATGTAAAGTCACATCGGAGATTAAGTTATTTGGAGTTTCTAGAATCAATGAAATAGAAATGCTCTAAATACAGTTGAGCTAGATTCCTGGATCATCCAGTATCCAAGTGTTGAGGCATCCCTATGGAGAAGTTCATTATTACGGTAGGCGTGGTGAACCTTTTCCTGTAAAGGTCCATTTGGATTTTTATAACATCATTTGTAGGCCATTTAATACAGCAGATGGGTTGCAGGCAGCCTATGAGAAGCATACATGTCTGTTCCATCACAACCCGGGCCAGATTCTATGATTCCTGTGCCTTATAATGCCAACAGATTGGAGGTTCCCCATCCTTGTCTAAGGAAATAAGGCCTACCCATAGTCATGGTCACATGAGTGATCTTGGAAACAGATTCACATTCTCCACAGTTCTGCGCTTAGTAAATCTTCAAGACGAAATCATAACCTCGTGAGAAACCTTGGCCAGAGGCACCTAGCTAAGCAGTGCACAGGGAGATAATATTGTGGGTTTTAGCTGCTATGTTTCTAGGGTAATTTATAATTATCAATAGATAATTCAGCCCTCTTCAGATTTATTTTCATAAATTTAAAGGACAGAATACAGTTACAAAGTAAAATAAAGTAATCAGCAGAGGTATGTGTTCTTTTTCCATTTCCATTCAGATGCACAGAAATAGGTATTCAAGAACACCAAGCAGAATTCAACATAGGTTACCCTATAGTGGAAGTGGAAAGTAAAGGGGTGAAGCTTGAAATGAGATGCATTTTAGTTTTAATTAATTTCTGTATAAGATTTGAATAATTGCTCATCAGTTTATATTGCAAGTATAACTGAAATACTTTTATATATAACTGAAAGTCAAGTTGAGGTCTCAAAACTTGGAACATAGGAAAAGTAGTCTATGAGAGCAGAGAAAAATCACAGCTTGATTTGCCTTTTGATTGACTTCTACTATCCATTGACGTCTATGGCTTCTACTTTCTCTGCCAAGCTAGATGCAGTCACTCTGAAATTCTCAGAAGTACAAGGTAAAGATCTCAGACTAACTGGTTACTTGCAAACGTTAAGTTTCAATCCTTGGTAAGATAATCCATTCCTTTATAAAATCCCAGATGAACTCTGTGCTCAAGTTTCAACATGCTGCAGCTGCTGGCAAAGCACTCTGGGAGCCTGGGCATCTGTCACCCAAGTCTTACTGTTGGCTTGTGTGATTGCTTTTGATCCTTTCACTATGAGCCTGTATCTATCCTGTGATTTTAGATGTGTTTCCTGTAAGCAGAAATGGATGAGTTTTGTTTCCTGATCCAGTCCACCACCTGTGTCTTTTGATGGGAGAGTTCAGTCTATTGACACTCAGAGAAATGACTGATAAAAAGGGCTGCATTGTCATTTTACCGTGTGGGGTTGTTACTTTTACAATTGGCTGTTTGATTTACGTACATGGTTTTTCAGTATTTCACTCAGGACTGTTTAGTTATAGCAAATAATGACAGTTTTTATTTGTCTAAGAATGTTTTTATTCTTCCCTTTCATAAAATGAGAGCTTTGCAAGGTACTGCATTCTAGGTTGAAAGGGTTTTTTTTGTTTTGCAGTGAGTAATTTGAATATTCCTTGCATTCCTTTCTTTCCTGTGCCATTTCATATGAGAAATCTGTCATAATCCTTATGTTGTTTCCCTTGTATTTAAAGTTTCTCTTCTTTCTAGATGCTTTAAAATGTCTCTCTCTTTGGATTTTGCCAGTTTGATTACTATCTGTCTTGGCGTTGGTCTGTTTGGGTTTATTTTGCTTTATAATCTTTAGATCTCTTAATCTGTACATCAGCTTCTCTCCAGAAAGTGGGGAAGTTCTCAGCCATGATCTGTCCTACCACTTGTTCTTCTCTTTTCCCATTTTCCTCTCTCTCTGATATTCCTACCATTTGGAGATGTTATTGCTGTCAGTCATTAAGTACTCTACATTCTCTTCCACTCTAGCGCTTGTCTTTTCTTTGCCAGTTCCCTATCAATGCTGGCTTGTATTTTGTCTTCAAGTTCATCTATATGGTTCCCTAACTTTGAAATTCTGCTACTACGGCTTTCTATTGTGTTTTTTAGATCATTCAGTTCACTTTCTATGGAATCTTTCATCCTCTGTAACAGTTCTTCTTTGAGTTTGTAGAATTTCTCATCTAGTGATTACTTAATTTCACTGCTCAGTGAATGCTTCGTTTCAATGGCCAACATAGTGAGTGCTGATTTCAAGTCTCCATTGTTCAAGCTTGAGAGTTTTAATAGATTTGGGGATTTGCCTTGGTTTCTATCTCTGTCTGACACAGTAGTTGGGTTCCTTAGTTTCCCCATTATCCTTTGGATTCCGTGTGAGTTAAAATGGGCTGGAGCGATAGCACAGTGGGTAGGCCGTTCACCTTGCACGCAGCCAACATGTCTGACCCGAGTTCGATTCCTCCACCCCTCTCAGGGAGTCCGGCAAGCTACCAAGAGGATCTCGCCTGCATGACAAAGCCTGGCAAGCTACCAATGACATATTCGATATGCCAAGCACAGTAACAATTGTCCCAATGGAGACGTTACTGGGCCTGCTCGAGCAAATCGATGAACAACGGGAGGACAGTGACAGTGACAGTGGGTTAATATTGGAGGTTTAGATTCCCAGTTACTTAAGAACTGATATGTTTAGTTGTTCACACCAGATGGTTACTGACAATCCTCTGTTCAGAATATTCCTTTACCATATAGTACTCTTTGGGTATTACAGGGTGTTTTGAACTAGTAACTCTGTTTAGCTAGCAAAGATATGTGACTGTATAAGGTTAGTGAACTATGTTTCTTGTATCCACTAGCTTCAATATGAAGTGTGTTCAGTAATAATATAATGCATCTGTGTGATTTTGCTTTCAGAGAATTAGTTGATGTCAGACAATGAAGCTCCATGAATTAGGATCTGGGCTCAGTGAGAAGGAGCAATCTGGATCCCAGGTCCTAGACCTTCCATCCAGAGCCTGGCCACGGTAAGAGTGGAAAGGGTATAATCCAAGTGTCCAGAAGCACATGTCTTTGTTCTAAAAATCTTAGTTTCCTTTTTCATATATTTTTAAAATCTTTTGAGAGGGTCAGATGTTTGTTGACAAAATTATACCTGATAATCTGGGCTTATTTATTTTTTAAAACTTCAGTCAAAATTGTGTGTTATAGAGAAATTTTTAATATATTTGAGAATTTTAGTTATCTAAAAACAAACTATGGTAGTTATGAAACAAAATGTTTTTAATATTTCAAGTCAATTTTGTATGAATAGACTGCACAAAAATTACTAATAACTGTCTATTTACATATTACTGTACACATTTCAAGTATAAGGGATTCTGAAACTCTAGTTCTTTTTTATACTGACCTTCGCAGGATTCTCCACTTAATGAAAACATCCCATTGTCATGGTAGCCATCTCTACACTCACAGTGGTACCATCCTGGGAGGTTAATGCAATTAGCACGGCTATCACACTGAACAAATCCATCCGAGCATTCATCGATATCTGTATGGTAGAGGAAACAATAATAGAAAGTTACCATTTTTTTACTTTTATTCCTCAAATAAACAGATGTATCCTGTAAAATGTCTAAGATTTGTTGTTGTTGTTGTTATTAGCAAAACCTCCAAACAGAAAATATAAATTAAGACCCATTTGGCTGTCAAGAGCTCTACAGAATGGATGTAATGTTATTTGTACAGAAATTTGTATACCTTTGATAATAATGTTCATGAAATATTTCTCACTCTTTTGGATAATTACTAAGATAAGTATGATATTAGTTCTTTAAGTCTGTTATAGAATAATAGATCTAACTTCTAGACAAACCTTTAAGATGTAGTGTGATTCACGTATGCCTTTTCCCTACTTTCAGGAATAGCAGTTTTCGGAGATTTAGAAGACCAACCTGAGAGCCTATGTTATATACAAGGGGACACAGTTCTATTTTACTTAGGATAGAAAAATAATAAGTAAAAGTAAAGTAAAGGCCCTCCCGTTGATCATCGATTTGCTCGAGCAGGCCCAGTAACGTCTCCATTGGAGACCTTGTTGTTACTGTGTTTGGCCTATCGAATACAGTCACGGGGAGCTTGCCAGGCTCTGCCGTGCGGGCGAGATACTCTCGGTAGCTTGCTGGGCTCTCCGAGAGGGGCGGAGGAATCGAACTCGGGTCGGCCATGTTGGCTGCGTGCAAGGCAGACGCCCTACCCGCTGTGCTATCGCTCCAGCCCAGAAAAATAATATGAGTAGGAAATTCACTTTTGTAGCTTTTATTCACTGAGAACTTAGATGTTTTTATTGCTATTGGTACAATCCATCTCAATCTGACCAAAAAATGTATCTATAGTAGCACCCATGCATCAGCTTGGTTATATTTTTTGAGAATATATACAATTTATGCAACTCTTTTGTCTTTTCTGTCCCTTATTTATAATTTATGGTAGCTTATGTAAGCAAGTTCACATTTTTTATGACGATTTCAATTTTTTCATTTTTAAAGTTTTGTTTGTTTGCTTTTAAGTCATCCCCAGCAGTCAAGGGGTTACTCCTGGCAGTGCTCAGGGGACCACATGTGATGCTGGGAATTAAACTGGTGTCCGCTGTGTGCAAGGCAAGTTTCTTAAGCACTGTGCTATCTCTCTATCCTGATAGTACTAGCACCATAGCACTGTAGCACAGTCCTCCCATTGTTCATCGATTTGCTCCAGTGGGCACCATTGTGAGACTTGTTACTGTTTTTGGCATAATGTATACGCCATGGGTAGCTTGCCAGGCTCTGCCGTGTGGTGGGATACTCTCAGTAGCTTGCTGGGCTCTCCGAGAGGGGCAGAGGAATCGAACTCAGGTGAGTCGTGCACAAGGCAAACGCCCTACCCACTGTGCTATCTTGCTCCAGCCCCCCCAATAGTACTAATGTTTATTATTTTGAAGTACAAAGTTACTGCATCTTCACCACCACCAAAGTGCCCCTGACACTCCACTATTGTTTTATCACTTCTAGTCAATCTCTTCCTTTCCCCTTCCTTTTCCTCAGCTGCTCAGTAACAGGTTTTACTCTTTTTTTTCTTCATGAGTCTAGCAAAGGGTTTGTCAATCTTATTCATTCTTTCAGGAAATAGCTCCTGGTTTAATGTATCCTTTGTATTATTTTCTTAATTTCTGCATGATTGATTTATACTTTGATTTTTATTATTTCCTCCCTTTTACTTTCTTTGGAATCTATTTGCTGTACTTTTTCCAGCTTTTCAAAACTTAGGTTATTTATTGAGATTTTTCCTATTTCATGATGTATTCCTGCGTTTTTATACATGTCTCCTGTATTATTACTTTTGCTATGTCTGGAAGGTTCTGATAGTTTGTCTCTTTATTATCGTTCATTATGCGTAAACTTTATTTTTGGTTTTCTTTTTGACCCAATGGCTACTTAACAGTATGCTGTTTATTTTACATAGGTCAGAGATTTTCCTGGCTTTCTTTTCATAGTTAATTCCAACCTTAATGGCATTGTGGTCAAAAAGTTATTCTCAATATGAATTTATGAACACTGAATTGTGGCCCAGCAAATGTACAATCCTGAAGAAAAATCCATATGAACTGGAGAAGAATTCAGCATGTGTAGGGAGGTGGAGGGGTCTATTTATTTCTACTAGTGCTAACTCATTTCCTCATTTTGAGCTCTTATTTTTTACTAATTTTCTGTTGGAGTGGCCTGTTTAATGACTAGAGTTGAGAATTAAAGTTTCCCAATACTACTGTATTGCTGTTGATGTATCTCCCGGCCAACTATATTAAATGTTGTTTCTTGAACTTCATTTGCTACATATATATGGATAAGTCGTCTTTTTGATCTACTGATCTTTTCACCAGCAAGTTTTTTAATCCCATCTAATGCTACTTTATTTAGTTTGAACACTACTTAGCTTAATATATGTATGGCTGTTACGACTTCTATTCCATCTAGTATTTGCATGAATATCTTTCAACTTTTCACTTTGAATCTGTATTTATCATGCAGGGATAAGTATGTTTCTTGTGAGCAAGTAGAAAGTTGGATTTTTGTTCCCTGATCCATTCAACCACAATGTGCCTTTTAATGAGGGAGTTCTTAGTTCTAAACTGACATTTAGAGAAGTTATTGTTATGTAGGGGGCTGGAGCAATAGCACAGTGGGTAGGGCATTTGCCTTGCACGTGGCTGACATGGCCAACCCGGGTTCGATTCCTCTGCCCCTCTCAAAGAGCCTGGCAATCTACCAAGAGCATCTCACCTGCATGCAAAACCTGGCAAGCTTCCCTTGACGTATTCAATACGCCAAAAAACAGTAACAACAAGTCTGGCAATTTGTTGTGAAATGTTACTGGTGCCTGCTGGAGCGAACAGATGAACAAAGGGAGGACAGTGCTACAGTGCTACATTGTTACGAAGGAATTTTTTGCTATTTTTCTATGAAAATTTTTGTTTTGTCATTTGCCATTCATGATTTCTTGCAGTGCAAGTTTAGATAAAGAAAATGACCTTAGTCTTTATTTGAGGATGCTTTAATCATTCACTAAATTATGAGTGAAAACTTTGCCTAGTATAGAATTATTGGTTACAGGTTCTTCTCATTAAGTACTTCTAATATTCCATTCTCTTCTTATTTGTAATGTTGCATTGTAAAATTCTGATGTGAATCTAATGTTGTTTACATTAAATTTGGGGCTTTGATTCTCTCATGCTGTTCTAAGAGGTCTCTCTCCCTTAGTTTTTACCCCTGTTTATTTATGATATGTCTTGGTGTTATTTTGTTTAGGTTTATTTTGTCTGCCACTCTTTTAAAGTTCTGCATCAGTTCTCAGGACCCCTCCTCAGATTAGGGAAGTTTTTGGTTACTGAAAAAAGAAATATAAAGCTTAGTTTTTGTGTGTTTTGTTTTGGTGGTTCCAGAAAATAAACCCAGAGTCGCGAACATGCAAGGCATGTGCTTTACTACTTAGCCTACAACTTCAACTTGAGAAACAGTTTAATGCATTGGGAGCACATTCCATATACAAGAAACCTGAGTTCATTTTCTGAAACTGTATGGTATCCCAGGCACTTACAGGAGGAACCCCAGAGCCTGGAGTAGCCAATGAGTACCACCAGGTGTGAACGAAAAAGAAAACAAGACAAAAATACATTAAAGTACCCCAAATCAGTAAAGAATTTAAGTATCATTTTTCCAGGTGACATGGTAACATACATAGAAAGCCCTAAGGGCCATTCCCAAGAAAACTATTAGATACAGTATAGTGGAAGACTAAGAAAGTATTATTCAAAAACTCATTACATTTCTATATACAGTGAACTAGAAAAAGTGTTTTATTTAATTTTTTATTTTTCAAGGAGCCAGTACAGCAAGTGAGACACTTGTATTGTGTGTATCTAACCTGGGTCTGATCTCTAATACACTATATGGTCCACTGAGTACTGCCAGGAGTGATCCCTAAGCTTAGACACAGGAGTGAGTAACCTGTACTGTGAGATGTGGACCCAAAACAAACAAAAATTTAAAATCCCATTCATTATTTCAAAAATGAAAAATCAGGTACCTATGAATCAAACTAAGAAAAGAAGTTTAAGACATATATTTAAAACTATAAGTCACTGTTAAATAAAAGACATAAGGAAATTGAAAATTTCTACTCATAGATTCGAAGAGTAAATATTGTTAAAATGGCACTCTTACATAAGTTATTTCATAAATTCAATGTAATTCCACTATGTCAATGACAGTCTTTAAGTTGTATGACAAATACTGAGGTTTTCATTGAACCATGAAACTTGTATAGTCAAAGAAATAGATGGGAAGCTTCACGTTTTCAAAATTTAAACTATAATAAAAAGTACTAGTAACAAAAATAACATGATATTAGAATAAAGGGAGACATCCTTGCCAGAGACAAAAGCTCACATATATGTACAATTTATTTCCAACAATGGACCCAAAATATAAGAGAGAAGGAAAAATCTTTTCAACAAATGATGTTGAAAAATTTGGAGGATCTTTTGCACAGAATAAAATTGAACCATTATTTCACACCATGCACAAAATTAGCTCAAAAGGGACTAAATATTCAGATGGTGTACCTGAATAAATAAAACATGATAAAAATGGAGACAACACACTACTTTACAGTGGCTAATATAGTTGGCTCCATATTTACCAATCAGTTCTGTAAAGTCTAAGAAAATAAATTTAGTGATTACATTACAGTTGTTTAATGATTTCAAAGAAATGATTGCAGAGGAAATAATCAAAGAACAAGAAAGTATGAGAGCTTCCTTTTATTCATGAGACAACTATAACTTTTTACCTACATTTTTGTCTTTTCATAAAAAGTTATTTTTTGTGACAAGACTGCTTTTTCATGAAATATCTACAAATATAAGTGGCAGAAACGAGAAGTATGGTATGTTGAATATATATATATATATATATGACTCAACAGAAGGCTTGAGAGCAGAATGACAGCAGTTGAGAA